AAATTGTACTGGGGCCATTCGACCTTGGAAAAAAAGATGCTGCGCTTTGGACGACCGTCTGGCACCAGCCCCAGTTTAGTGAGGTTGGCTAGGAGGCGCCCTAGCGGTGTCCTGGGGTCAATTTTAGAATTTTGATGACTCATAGCTAATCTCCGGAGACCAATAGTCAAGGCTAAAGGACCAGTGTCCCAATCGTTTACCCTTGGCTACAGAAAGAAAAAGGAGGGTTGACAGCAATGTCTCCACTGCCATCCTGGGTCGGTCAGAAAAAAAGAGGGCAATCTCTGACGTGGCCAAGTGTTTACAGACAGAGGCCAGCGGAGGTCACCAGAAATAGACACCAGTCCAGTTAGGACTTACTGTCTGTGCCGCCAGACCGGAGTGTGGTCCAGGATCTTTAAAGAGAGCAGGAGAGGAGGGCTCCCTGAAACTGCACTAGGCAGTTAAGAGAGGGCTCACTCCTCCCGGGTTTTGGCACCAAATATTAAGTTTGCTGCAAATATAAACTGAGACCAGGCCAGAGAGAAGGAAAAGGAGTTTATTCTGCGCTTCCCGGGTGATCTTTCCACCTGATGCTGAGCAGATGGCTCATTGATCTGGGGCCCTTTGAAGTTAGCCATCTTGGTCCAATAGGGGCAGGCAGGCTATTTCTAATGTCCCCTGACTGGTACCTGACCCAACATGTGTCTTCAGCACTTTTTATCTTATAAGAGAGAAAAGGAGAGAGAAGCCAGCACAGAAAGAGGCACCTTAATACCAAGAAAGGAGACAGGAGTAAAATACATCCTTTGTACCCTGATTCCCTTTGCTGGGAACCTCCTAGACCCAAAACCAAACTCACTGCCATCAAGTTAATGTCAAGTCATAGTGACCATATAGGACAGGATAGAAATGTCCCTGTGAGTCCCCAAGTGACTGTAACTCTGTACAGGAGTAGAAAGCCCCAACTTTCTCCTACAGAGCAGCTGGTGGTTTCAAACTGCTGACCTTGCAAGTGAAAACTGTTATCCCAGGGGCGTGGGTAGAAAGCAAATGTTTTGAGAATGATGAGGGCAATGAATGTACAAATGTGCTTTACACAATTGATGTATGTATGGATCGTGATAAGAGTTGTATGAACCCCTAATAAAATGACTTAAAAAAAGAAAAGAAAACTGTTATCAAGACATGGAGTTCGACCCTATCACACCAGGGCGAAACACTAAGGGTATGCAACAAACAGCAAGGGGAGCACAGCAATGAAATCCCCAGGAAATACCAAAAATAAGACTTTGGGGCCAGGGTGTGGCACCCCAACGGACTCAAAGGGAAAACACTCCTAAAGGTCCACAGACAGACCTGGAACAATTTATAGGTTTTTCCTTGTCACTGGTTTTGTTTTCTTTTGTCGTTTGTTTTGCTTTGTCTTGTTTTTGTGCTTATTGTCTCTGAATGTCTATCTAGATAAACAATCTGGAGGAGAAAACAATGGGACTGATGGTTCTGGGGGACACAGGAGAGGGAGAGGCGGTGGAGAAAGGAAGTGGGTGTTAACAAACCCAGGGACAAGGGAACAAGTGATCAAAAATCGATGGTGAGGAGGCCCTGGTAGGGCTTGATCAAGGGCAATGTAACTAACCCAGAGGAATTACTGAAACCCAAATGAAGGCTGAGCATGATAGTGGAACAGAAGGAAATTAAAAAGAAATAAAGAGGAAAGAACTAGGAAGCAAAGGATATTTATAGAGGTCTAAATACAAGCATGTACATATGTAAATATATTTATATATGATGGGTAAATAGCTCTATGTGTATATATTTATATGTTTAGTTATTAAGGTAGCAGATGGACATTGAGCCTCTACTCAAATACTCCCTCAATGCAAGAACACTTTGTTCTAGTAAACTGACATTCCATGATGCTCTCCTTCCCAACAGGATCACTGAAGACAAATGGGTGCATAAACAAATGTGGTAAAGAAAGCTGATGGTGCCCAGCTATTGAAAGATATGGCATCTGGGGTCTTAAAGGCTTGAAGATAAACAAGTGGTCATCTAGCTGAGAAGCAACAAAGCCCACATGGAAGAAGCACACCAGCCTGTGTGATCATGAAGTGTTGATGGGATCAGATATTAAAGACCTAAAAAACATATCATTGTGAATGAGGGGGAGTGCAGAGTGGAGATCCAAAGTCCATCTGTAGGCAACTGGACATCCCCTTACAGAAGAGTTAGCAGGGAGGAGATGAGCTAGTCAGGGTGCAGTATAGCGCTGATGAAACTTTCCTCTAGTTCTCTAATGCTTCCTCTTCCCCCCACTATCATGATCCCAATTCTACCTTACTAATTCAGCTACACCAGAGTATGCACACTGGTACAGATAAGAGCTCGAAACACAGGGGATCCAGGACAGATAAAGCCCTCAGGACCAATATTGAGAGCAGCAATACCAGAAGGGGAAGGGGAAGGTGTGGGGAAGAAGGGGGAACCAATCACAATGATTTAAATATAACCCCTTCCCAGAGGGACGGACAATAGAAAAGTGGGTGAAGGGTGACAGCAGTCGGTATAAGACATGAAAAATTTTTTGTATAGATTATCAAGGGTTCTGGACCAGTGGTGAGAGTGGAGATACCAGGAGGGGGATGGGAAGATGGGGTAGAAAGGGGGAGCTGATTACAAGCATCTACATATAATCCCCTCCCTGGGGGATGGACAACAGAAAAGTGGGTGGAGATGTCGGACAGTGTAAGATATGACAAAATAAAAATTTATAAAATTCATGAAGGATGGGGTGGGGAGGGGACATAGTGGATGGATGGATTTTGATGAGTTGTATGAGCCCCCAATAAAATGATTTTAAAAAATTATCAAGTGTTCATGAGGGAGGGAAGGTGGGGCAGGGGACAAATGAGGAGCTGATACCAAGGGCTCAAGGAGAAAGAAAATTTTTGGGAAATGATGATGTCAACATATGTACAAATGTCCTTGACACAATCGATGGATGTACAGATTGTGGTAAGAGCTGTATGAGCCCCCAATAAAATGAATAAAAAAAAAAAGGCATGTTCTTCCATTTCAGATTTTGAAATAAGGACCTTCATCTTAAACTGTGTGAGCTTCCATCTCCCTGTAGAACTAACACACTTTAATTTCACACTTCTAGCGTCCTAAACGAGAATAAATGTGTTAAGGCCACCCACTTGTGGTAGTTCTGATATAACAGAATTCTGTAAACAGGACCCTTGGAAATTGGTATGATGGAGCCCGTGGAACAATTTAACAAAAGGCTACTTGCATGTGTAAGATTTGAGGTATCTGATTTCATTCGTGGTTTTGTAGGATTTGGATCGCCTGACAAACTTTCACATAACTGCTAAAATAATCCTACAAAGGTTCTATCACGCTAAAAGGATCCCCATTGCCTTGGCTTCCATTGTGCCCCACTCCTCAAGTCTTCCTGATCCTCCACTCATGGTGTGGAGGCCGACTCATGGTGATTCCACAGGACAGAGTGCATGGACTGAGCTGAGGCAGGTTAGGGCCCCGCTTCCCTGAAGGTCCCCAGAGGTCAGGAGCTGCCCCCCCTCCCACCCACCAGAGTGAGGAGGCTGAAGAAACTGCCTGGAATTCCAGACTCCCTAAGAACTGGCCGACCTGCCTGCCAGAGCTGATGAACTGTTTCCTGGGCCATAAACCATACTGCTAAACTACATTCTGGGCCATAAACCTTGCCACTGCAGCACAGAACCCCCCTCTCCCCTTTCCTTTAAAAACCCAACCCCAAATGAAGCCCTCGATTCCCCTGGGCTACTTGCTAGACCATGGGGCTTCACCCGGGAGCTCCCCCCCACCCCCTTGCTCCAATAAAGCTGTCTTTGACTTCACCTACTTCGTCCTGACTTTGTTCTCGTCCTGTGCCTCAGTTTACCTCTCACAGAGTACAGTGAACCCTCGCCACTTCGAGCTTCGACTTCCGCGGCTTCACTCTATCGCGGTTTTTGCGTTAACAGCACCCACTGCCTACACCCGCTCCTTCAGAGGAAAAAGACGGCGACCCACCTGTAGAATACATCCCTTAAGTCATTTCATAGGCTATTGATTACAGTATTTGTAAGAACTATGTATAATAATACTGTATGTGAAATATGTAATACTGTAAACTAGATGCCATAAATAATATAATTGTAACGTCTAAAATGTTTTACTGTATTTTCCCTTTTTCGTTTAATAAATTGGGTAATACGAGTGTAATGGTGACTAAAGGGTGTTTTTTCATGTCCTCTATGCTCTAACTACGAAAATATTTGATTTACAAATAAGGAATCCTACTTCGTGGAATTTCATTTATCACGGTAGGGTCTAAAACCGATTAACCGCGATAAACGAGGGTTCACTGTAGACTAGAAATCTTTATAGGAATAGAAATCCTCATCTTTCTTCTGCAGTGGCTGGTAGTTTTGAACTGCTGACTTTGTGGTTAACTGCCCAATGCCAAACCCACACCACCACCACATTGTGTACATACCAAGTTGAAGATGCTGAAAGTGGTTTCAATCTCTTAAATGAACATCTATCCAAGACCTTTAACAATTGGGAGCCATGGGAGTAGTGGAGATTGCAAATGATGAAAACAAGACTGGCTAGGGAACTTATGGCCAACTGACATGGGTTGGTTCCTCTTGTATAAGGGAAGCTGTGGGAACAGCTGGCCTTGGTGAACATAACAGGCCTACTACTAAGAGATACTACAGGTAAAGCCAGATTAGTTTGAGGTCTGCCACCTCGAATTTCTGTATAATAAGAATGTGTCAGCAGTCAGCGGGGCACTCAACAGAGCTTAAATGTCAAAGAACTTCTTTCTACCACTTCTATAAAGAGAGAAGGCAGTATTCATTTTTGAAAAAAAAAAAAGTAAACACACATTAAGAAGTGCCAACAATTTGCATTGCTCCCACCAGGTACTCAAATCTCTGGCATAAAACAACATCTCAATCAAATCACAGGTTGCATCCATAACCTCCTTTATGACATTTTTATTTTTCTACCTGGGATGTGGTCAACATGGGTCTGAAAAATCCGCTGCACTGAAACACTCCAACCAATTGCAAAACAGAGTGTGCTGTGGACACAGGGAGAGAGAGGGGTGTGGCAGCTTCCGATTGGCTGCCCCTGAGGGTGCTCTGGGCAGGACGGGGCGGGACAATGCAGTGCAGACTTTGGCAGTAGGGGGCAAGAAGGACCAAGCATAACAAGGGGTGCTGCTGAGATGCGTTTATTGGCTGGTGGCCTCTCGCTGTTTCTTGATGAAGCTGATCAGCCCGTTGGTGGAAGAATCATGAGAGGTCACTGGAGCGTTGCCCTCAAGCTCAGGTTCAATTTTCTTAGCCAACTGTTTCCCCAGTTCCACTCTGCCAGATAAGAGAAGAATGGTATGAAGGAGTGTTAGGTAGCTGGAGACAGAATTAAGGGCCCTCTCTCTACATGCCAAGGCCTCCCTCCCCCATTACAAGAAGCTGAAAGTTGCTTAAGGCTGGAGGGCATGCACACTCAGGTCTTTGAAACAGGAAGCCGGTAAACCTGGGTGGGACCCCATCTAGGCCAGGTGGACTTAATTCAGCCAAGGGGGTCAAACAGTATTGTCAACCACGCCTCCCAATGGGGGCCTGAAAAGCAAGAAGTTTTTCTCGCTGGGAGGCTGGCTCTCTCCCAGCGGGCTCCGACTCCGAATTGGTCAGCGGTCAGAGAGGCTGGGCTGAGGGATTCTCTGCCCTCAGGTTTCCACGTGTGGGTGTGAAGTACCCCGAGAGTGCCTGTGTAAAACCTGACATTCCTTCGAGCCTTCATCAAAACTCACTTGGATCACAAACCAGGCTTCAGCACATGAAGCCAAGGACCGAGGTCTATTTCTCCCACAAGAGAGGCCTAACAAAAGGTTTCACTGGTTCTAGTAAAATTGACGAGCCAACCCCCAGGCATTGCCACCCACCCCTGTCTGTAGCAGTAACTCACCCCCACTGGTCAAAGCTGTTGATGTCCCAGATGATGCCCTGAACGAAGATCTTGTGCTCATACATGGCTACAGAAATGACAGACAGTGCAAGTTAAGGCTCTTGCAGCTCAATCCAACCCCACCCCGAGGTGGGACTTTCCTGACTCACTCACCAATCAAGGCTCCGAGCATGAATGGTGTGAGCCTGGTGAACACAATGGAATTGGTTGGGCGATTTCCTTCAAAGACCTTCAGAATACACCAAAACATGGTCCAAAGTTATTTCAGGTCTCCACCTCTACGCCTGCCCACCACTGGGCTAGAAAGGGAAGAACATCCCATCCCACAGGCCGTTCTGTGAGGACAGACCCTCCGATTGTTTAAGACCACCAATCATGCCGTGAGTCCCTGCCTTGACCGGACAGCTTCCTCTCAGCATGGCACCCAGAAGCCCACTTAAGGAGAGGGGCTGACCTTGTGTGGCAGCAGCTTCTCCAGTTCCTCTGGACTCTTTCCCGAAGCCTGGAGCTCCTTCCGGGCCTCTTCGGGTGTCTTCCCCTTCATCAGCGCCTCCGTCTGGGCTAAGAAGTTGGCCAGAAGGATCTGACGAGAGAGAGACCCAGTAACACTTGGAAGAACTGTTTGTGCTTATGGGACAAGAGACAAGGCCACCTTGGCACTGCCTAGTCAGGGTTTGACCCAGCCTGGCCAGACTGTCAACCCTCACAGGGCAGCTCAGTTGGTTATGGGGGAGGGGGGACAAAGGGCCTCAAGGAAACTGGGGTCACCATCTTCCCGTCATATAAATAAAATCCAGAACTAGAGATGAAAGAAGCGCAGGAAAGATCTGCAGACAAGCCTCTATCTAAAATAGTGAATCCCCATGACATACACAGGAGGTCCAGCATAGTTCTTAACATTTTTCTCTCAGCAGAAACCAGGCCAGCTGGGACTGCAAAGGACAGAACAGGAAGTGAAGGAAAGCTGTCAGAACCCCCAACCTCTACAGGCAGAAAGCAGGCTGGTAAGTCTACTCCGCTGCAGACACACGCTTCCTTTCAGGAACAAGGACCCAGGGCCCAGGGGCAGAGCTGTGTACGAGGGTATCATTCCCATGCTGGGAAACCAGTTTGCACACTAGATTCCGAAATGGTTTAGGCTGGCGACACGCTTTTCCTTTGCATTTGAACCATATGACTGAAAGTGTTATCATATCATTTGCCCCATGATTGTATTTTTGGAACAGATCACAGAGATATATACCATGCAAACTTTATTCACTACAAGTCCAACGATTTAATTAGCAAGAGCTGTGGCGTGTGTTTCTGGTGTGTGTGTTTTCAACTTAATTAACTAGAAGGATACACGCTACGATATTCATTATGGTTATAGCTAAGTGATACGATGACAGGTACCTAACCGAAGAGCTGAGGCCTGAATTCCCTTCAGACTTTGGTGTAATGCTTTACACAGATGAGTGACTGCCATTCTGTCTGATTCGGATACATGGGGAGGGTCAAAGGTTACCTTGATAGAACCTGGAGACAGATAAAGGAACATTTGGTGGAATGCTAGCAAAGCTCTGAATTTCATGTTCTTTTTAATAAAAATTTTTTTTCTTTTTCATAACAATCACTTTATAAAATATGTTCATTGCGTAGGAGAAAAACTCAAAAAGGCTAACTGCCCCCCAAAACAAAAGCCAGCTAACTTCTGGAGCTCCACAGATGGAAAGCGCTGTGCCAACGGCTGGATTACCTAATTTGATACTGAGAACACCTGTATAAATGATCAAAAGGATTTTTCAGATGGAATTAAGATGAATCCATAGTTGTCAAGTGAACTCCAACTCACAGTGACCCTGTAAGACAGAGCAGCACTGGCCTATAGGGAGTCCACGGTTGTAGTTTTGGTGGAAGCTGACTGCCTGCCACCTTTCTCCCGCAGAGCAGCTGGGGGGTCTGCACCACCACTCTTTTGGTTAACAGACGAGCACTTAACTGCTACGCCACCTGGGTTCCTTAGAATTAGGGTTTTAAAAATCAAAACCGGGGGAAGAACAACATAAACCAGAGGGGAAGGGAGAGAGCAGTCAGTATGAGATATGAAAACAATATCTATAATCTATCAAGGGTGGAGAGGAGAGAGAGGGGGTAAAAAGAGGAGCTGATCCCAAGGGTTCAATAGAAAGTAAATGTCTAGAAGGAACTATATGTGACCTCCTCCCTGGGGGACTGACAACCGAAAAGTGGGTGAAGGGAGATGTCGGACAGGGCAAGATATGACAAAATACCCATTTATAAACTATGAAGGGCTCATGAGGGAGGGGCGTGCGGGGAGGGAGGGGAAAAATGAGGACCTAATGTCGGGGGTTTAAGTGGAGAGAAAATGTTTTGAGAATGATGTACAAATGCACTTTACACAATTAATGTGTGTATGGATTGCGATAACAGTTGTATGAGCCCCTAATAAAATGTTAAAATAAATAAATTAATTAAATAAAACTGAAGAAAAAAAAGAAAAAAGAAAGTAAATGTCTAGAAAAGAACAATGGCAATCTATGTGCTAATATTTTGGATACAATTGATGTATGGAGTATAACTAGAGCTTTAACAGCCCCCAATAAAATGATCTAAAAAATAAAAGCCAAGCCCACTGCCACCAAGTCAATTCTGACTCATATGGACCTTACAGGACTTAGGAGAACTGCTCCTTAGTGTTTCTGAAACTGTGAATCTTTACAGGAGCAGACAGCCTCATTTTTCTTCCTTGGAGGGCTAGTGGACTTGAACTGCCAACCTTGAGATTAGCAGCCTAATGCTGAATCTACTGCACCAACAATGCTCCTTGGAATGAAGGTTACAGACCTTAAAATCAGAAGATTATCTTGGATTATACAGAGGGCCCAATGAATTCACAAGGGCCTGTAAAGCAGAAGAGCCCATCAGAAAGGTGAGGCAGGAGAGAAGCAACATTCGAGAAGGACTTGACCTGCCTTTGCTGATTCTGAGATAAAGGAAGCAGGGAACAGGGACTATGGCAGCTGAAGAGGACCTAAAACCACCCGGAAACAAATCTTGCCACAACAACCTGAACAAGGAAACAGGTTTCCCTCCAGACAGGAGCACAGCCCTGTTGACTCCTTTAACTCAGCCTCCTACTGTGACCCTCAGTAAAGACCCTGTGGAGCCTGCTGCACTCTTGTCTGCCGAGACCAAGAGAAAACCAACGGATGTCCTTGGCAGCCACTGCGTCTGCGGTGATTTGTACGTTTGTGGTTGATTTGTTGGCAGCAGCAATAAATACAGTGGCCAACCGAAGCATCAGGCCTTCGGAGGGCTGGGTGTGACGTGAACATGAGAGAACGGGAGGGGAGTAGGCATAGGGCTCTTACCTTGTGATGCAACCCCTTCCGGATAGGGTGCTGGGTCTGGACCGGGATGAGGAAGTCACAGGGTATCATCCTGGTACCTGAGACGAGCACAGCAGTTATCCTGGTGCCCATGCTGGCCCGAGGGCTACCTCAATAGCCTTCAGAGTCCCTGCTGGTAAGGCTACCCCTCCCCAGGCGGGATGCACCCTACCTTGGTGGATAAGCTGGTAGAAGGCATGCTGGCCGTTGGTCCCTGGCTCTCCCCACAAGATAGGGCCCGTCTGATAGTCCACGCGGGTGCCAGTCTTGGTGATATACTTCCCATTGGACTCCATGTCACCCTGCGATGGAACCAGAAATCCAGCCCTTTAATACAAGTCTGGCTGCTCCATGCTCCACTCCCAAGTGTGCAGTCTTACCTGGATGCACCAGGCATGCCCCCAGGCTCGAGCCACAACGTGGACTCGCACAGTATGTATTCACAGCACGACCCCCTCACCTCCAAGTCCAGCAAGCTTCCTTGCTTAAAGCACACTGCAGTTAGAGGACCCACAGCCAGGCCATGGCGGCACTAGGCTGAGGGGGGACCTCCCTAAGGGAGGGACTATGGGTGGCTTCTAGAAGCGGAGGACAACCAAAGGCTGACAAATGGAAGGGAACTGGAACCTCAAGTCCTATAGTCACATGGAAATGAATTCTGTAAACACTCAGCTGGACACAGAAATGGATTTCTTTCAGTACTGATAAAACCGCTCGATCACAAAGTCTCTGCTTTCTCCAGGGTGAGGCAGGCTGGGCTCGAGAGTGAATAGCCTTTGAGGGCTGTTGTTTCAACTAGGTGTTGGGCTTTGCAACAGCTTCCTGGCCCCTGGTTACAACAACTGTCACCAAGGCACTGGGGGAAGCCTTAACTCTCCTTCAATCACAAGATTCATAAGGGTATACTGCGCCTGCCCAAAGGGTCCAAGGGGACTGCTAGAGAGAAGCCAAGTTTATGCTGAGCAAACATGAGGACCGATAGGGAAGGGTTTCCCAAGCACACCCTGACCAGTAGAAAGGCTGCTTAGTCTCTGGGGGCTCGGGAAATTCACGGGGAGCCCAAAGAGGTGCCATAGTCTGGCAACTTTCTTTAAGGCCGTGCAGGTCATAGGGGTGCTTGCTTGTGGCCTCACCCTAGGGCGAGGGTTCAGAGCAATGTCTAAGAAAGAAATAACCCTGGCTAAGACATATCCAGAGGCAAGCCATGACCCAAGGGGCCAGGCACCACCGCTAGTTCACCATGCGAGTCAGCCCCTTACATGCTGGCTCAAGTCAGCAGACCAGTCAGGTTGAACAGACACCATTTCCAAGGGAATGGGAAACGAAGGTGGGCTGAGGCGATGTCCAGAGGACAGTAAGGGAAAGGGCTCATGGAGGAGCAGGAAGTTGAGCTCACGGGCCTCCAGGTTCCCACAAACCCTGATAATCCCAAAGCCTGGCTTGGCAGCTGATACCTGTTGGAAATAGGCAGCAAAGCGGTGCAGGTACTGGTCATAGGGCAGCAGGCCCTGGGTCTCACATCCAAAGATGTTAATGTACCAGACGCCCAGAAGAGCCAGCAAGACGGGAGCATTCTTCTCCAGGGGCGCAGTCCGGAAGTGCTGGTCCTGCAATGGGGGCAGGGTGCGTAGAGTTGGAGAAACAGCCTGGGCACAGAGGGATGAGGGCAGAGGAGAGTGCTGGGCTGTGGCTGGCAGTACTCACCATCCAGTGAGCCCCCGAGAGCAGCTGCTCAAAGTTGTCAAACCCTGTGACATAAAAACAGCGCCCACAGAAAACAGTTAGACGCCACACACTCATGTCATTAGGCACAGTTTCTTCTGGAAGCAGTGACAGGCTGGATATGGAGCCGAAAGAAATGGGATCTAGGAGGCTTAGACTTGCCAAAGAAAGCTGCCCTCACCAGTGTGGCTCTGAGCTTGCTCCCACCCCCTGCCTGCCCAGTCGCCTCTGACTCATCGTGACCGACCCTCTAGGACAGGGTAGAACTGTCACTGTGCATTTCCAAGACTGTAACTTTCTCTCTCTCTTTTGGTCTTTAAAAACTATTTACTATATACTTTCTTTCATTAGTCTATTTCAGTATAAATGAAGTCGTGAGCCCCAATTTACAATTTCTTTAGCGTTTCTCTTTTGCATGAGTCAGGTGAACACCTAACATTGTATGCCTGTCCATGCGAATTAGCCATAAGCTGAAGACAAGATAGAAGGCCAGGCTTTCACATATGGTGACCACATTCTCAGCGTTAAGAGTTCCCAATCATTCAAACCCTCACAAATGCTCTGGACCATAATGTTTTGTTCATCTTCCTTGTAGTGCAGAGGAAAAGATTCTGGAAGAACAACTTTAATGGAATTCAGGTGCAGCCCAGCCCTAAACCAAAGTTTCCTTGACGGAGTCTAGTGCAAAGTGCACAACGGTTCTCCTAGTGACAAGCTTATAGGCATAGCCAGTTGGGACCAAAGCTCTCACAGTCTGTAACTCTTTACAGGAGTAGAAAGCTTCATCTTTATCCCTCAGAGTGGCTGGTGGTTTTGAACTACTGACCTTTAGGTTAGCAGTCCAATGTATATATAACTTACTCAGGTGGGGCTAACGGCAGGAGGAGGACAATAACTAGGACTAAAGTTGTAAGGGGCAGGTAGAATGGCTAGTCTGTAAACCCAATTGAAGACCTGGGCCCTCCCTTCTGGCCCGAGAGAAATGTTTCAGTCAAGGAGAGAAGCTGGTAGTCAGTTGGGGACAGAAAAGTGTTTGGGGGCACAGGACCCCGCACCCCTGACCAACATTCTCTACCTGGGAGGCTTGGTAGATATACAAATACTTACCGACGTGCAGGGCAATGGAGAGTCCGATGGCTGACCACAGCGAGTACCGTCCTCCCACCCACTAGGAGAGAGAGGAAAAAGGTGCCAAGGAGGGGCCCCACACATCCACCCACCCCCTTACCACAGGGCTTGGCCCAGCGTGCTCTGCCCTTCCACAGGTTCAGCTCAGGGTCTTCGCCCCAGGCCACCTGGCTGCAAGACAGCAGGCCAGGTGCTGGCAAGTTCTTGGGTAGCAACAACGATCCAAGTCACAATATTCAGACATATCATGGCCAGTTCCATCTCTTCAGGCTGCATGGACAGACCCACAGCCGGCTATCAGTTCCTGGATCTGCTTCTTCAGATACTGACAGACCCAGGGCCTCACAGATCTGCCCACCTCGCTTTATTTGCACACCTACAACCCCAGTGCCTCATTCCTGTGCCTGACCCCACCTCCTCAGACAGTGCCAGGCCCTGCCTCCTCAAACTCTGGAAGCAGTTGAGGCATGCTGGGCAAGAGGGAGGGCCAGTGGGTAGGAAATGAGCAAAGATAGAGAACCAAGAATGGTCTGTGGGTGAGGTGACACTGAAAACAGACTGCTTCGGAGACCCCAGGGAATTGGTGCCGCCCTACACACGCTCCAGAAGAGGCCTGACTGAGGAATTTCAATGTAACAGGACGGGGTGGAAAAAGGGGAAGAATGAAGTGTGTCCCAGAGTTCCTTGAGCAAAGAGTTGGACAGAGGGAACCTTCGGCTGGAAAGGACCTATGTCTGGGGGACCCTTCTTTGAAACATAGTTCCACAGACCCCCCACTATACCTGACAGATGCCATTTGGGAAGCCTCTTTTGAGCCCTCAGACTGACTGAAGAGAGGCCAGCCTTCTTACCCCGGCCTGAGGCCCGGCCCTCAGACATCACTTTGAGGAGAGTCCAGCAATGTCAAACAGGGTCTACCTTGAACCTCTGGGGTCCCAGCCTGCAAACACAGGTCTCTACACCTCACCTTTACCCACAGTAAAGGGCCTCTCAGATTACACCTTTCAGATACGAGTTTTTCCGTCCTTTGGCTGTATGTGCCATGTTTGCCCCGGTGCCTCAAAACTCACCTTGCTTAACCCCGGCACTTCAGAATCGGGCTAAGCAGACTCCAGGGCCACAGACAAACTGCATCTTGGTCTCGTTCTGGGTCCTCAGGCCCCTACGACACCCGCAGTTTTGACATCACACCTGACAGTCCTGAGGACCAGGTGGCTGCCCCACCCACCTCACCAACCAAGTCAATGGGTCCAACGGGTGCCTGAGGTCGGCTCCCAATAAGCCATCAAGACCAGGCTTATAGGACCTCTGCCCAACTTATCCTTGATTCCCAGACCTCAGTGACAGACCCAGGTACACAGACCCATCCGGGACATGGATGCAGATGTTGCATCTGATTGCCTTAGCTTGGGCCACCTGCATCAACTGCAGGGCCCCACACCACAGTATGCACCTGTTACAGATATCTCGGCTGACCGAAGAGGTTTAATTCATACCTCAAAACACACACCCAAGTCTACCTGGCTGAGACCAATTCGGCGTCTTCCTACCTTGCCTGAGAGATGCTGTTCTAATTACATGAGCTTCATCCTCGAGACTCAAGATGAGATCAAGGTTGAGACACTGGTCTAACTCAACGTTTCCATCTTACAGCCAAAGCCAACACTATCTTCCTATGCTTCATCTTGGCACCAACCACCTCACGGAAGGGTCTCAAGATCTCCCCGGACAAGAGCAGCTCTGTTAACTGGTGTTTCAGCTGAGAAACGTGGCATTACCTACCTGGGACCAACCCACGTTCCCTAGAACTTACCTGAGAGCCATGCCTACACATCGGACTCAAAACAATGCTCCAAGGTTTTGTGACTCGCAAGAGCCCCCTTTGTACCATCAAAGGCAAATTAGCCGGTAAGCAAGTTACACATGGGCTTTCTTGTGCTTGCTTACTATAGTGTATAAATAAGCACGGGTTCACTTTGCTTATTACGCAATCTGTCTCCAAAAGTCCAAGTTGTCCAAAGTCCTTGCTTGAGAAAGTTACATCCAGTTACTCATATCTTAACAAGCTGGGTCCCAAAGACTTCCTATGAAAGACTCCCAGTGTTCTGCCCACTTCGAGGGCCACGGGCCTGATTGGAGAGCCTGTTTTTCCCATCTAGGCTCAACTCCAGATTTTCAAGCTTCTCCGTGGAGACCCAGGGGTACATAGGCACCTCTGCCAGAATCAAATTCCTGAGAGAGCCAACACTACCAACTTCTGCTCAACTGGAACTCCTCAGGCCTCCTCAGCTTGACCTACCTGCGTCTCATGCAGCGGCGCACACAGCATCCAGTTCAGCTTGGATGCTGTTACCGTAACTTGACCATAGCCCTTTAGATCTCACAGACAGACCCTGTTTTGCCATCCCGCCTGGATCCTGGCTCTACAGACCTCAGTGAAGTGGTTCTCAATCTTCCTAATGGCGGCGACCCTTTCATACAGTTCCTCCTGTTGTGGTGACCCCCCCCAACCCTAAGATTATTTTCGTTGCTACTTCATCACTGTCATTTTGCTACTGTGATGAATTGGGCAACCCCTGTGAAAGGGTCGTGCAAGCCCCAAAGGGGTCGCGACCCACAGGTGGAGAACCACTGCCTTAGTGGATCATAGACTCTACTGGATAAGCCCTGTTCAACCCTACCTGTGTCTAACGCATGCTCTTCAGATCTGAAAGACCCAAGGACACACATTTCTGCCAGACTCCATGGATCTTACCTGAGTTAGTTCCACATGCCTGGGCAAAGCCACATCTTTGTAGATCTCACTTGACAGATGCAGTTCTACACCCCCTTTTAACCTCACATCAAAACCCCAGACCTACTCACTTGTACCCAGTCCCAGCTCTTGCAGTCCTATACCCGAGAAGCTTAGCTCACTCTACCGTGTTCACCGTATACTCTCAGAGGTCTAGACAGTTCTTTCTAGATGAGCTTTCCTGGCTCCTCGAGCTCCCCTACGTCTACCTGACCTCAAGCTTCAGGGCAGTCCAATAGCCCTAACATGGATTTTCAGGTCAACCAACCTCTGCTCACCCGTTTTCACGGAGCTTATCCGTCATACTTAGCTTTACCCACCTAGTGCCACAGATTCCAGAGGACAATCCAGGGTCCCACCGCTGCAGCTCAGATCTGATCTACGGGACTCAGAAGTATAAACCCATGTCTCACCTCCACGCTTCAAACCTCACCTGACACGTCTGTCCTTCATACCCCAGCTTCAGTAACTCCAAATGGACGCCGTTCTCCTCCCTTTGACTGACTTCAGCTTTCTATCTTCTCCCAGGGCACCCAGGCACCAGCTGCCTTGACCGTCCTCACAAATGCCACCTGAAATATCCTTATCGTCTGGAGCCAGTCCTAGATTTCCAGTTCTCACTTGTCAAACCCAGCTCTACCTGTCCTTACCGGTCTCTGGCTCTAGTCCTGGCCTGACTCAGCCACTTCTGTATCCATGTGCCTACCTCTGGCTTCTCAGGCCTCACGTGACTACCACCCTCACACTTCCCTTTGTCTGATCTTCGCTCCAGAGAGCATACAGGATAGACTCCATTATGTAACTCAGCTGAGATAGAAGCCAGTCCTTTCAATGTCTGAGTGACTCACACCTCCAGGCACCTCACCTTACAGCCATGGGTCTCAAAACCTTTACCTCCCATGTCCTTTTAAATACCGTAATCCACCAACCGACACTTCACCTGCCTCAGCTCCCTAGTTCTTACCTTTTATAAACCAAACTGATGCCCATCAAGTTGCGGCTGACTCATACTGACTCTATAGGAGAGTGTAGAACGGACCCTGTTATCTTTGTGAAAAGCCCTTTCTTTCTCCTGCGGAGTGGCTGGTGGTTTTGAACTGCTGACCTGGTGTTTAGTTGCCTAACGCGTAACCCCTCCAACAGCAGGGCTCCTTGCCTTTTACAATCAGGTACAATCTTACCTCTCCCTTCTCTGGGCTCCTTGGGCCCCACCCCACTGGGACCAATGCTACGAGACCATGCATGCCCTGGGCTGGTCACAGTTCCCTAGGCTTGGTCAAGTGACACCCCCCTAGCTCTCTATATCACTCCCATCCAGATTTCAGAAAACGAAATGGCTGACTCGATTTGGGGCGCTGTACCTATGTTTGCCTAATCCTGAGTTCTATGCAGTTCATCGACTATCTAGCTCTCACCTTTCAAAACTGGTCAGAGACCCAGCATGTCCCATGCCTCAGTCTGGAGATCTCAGGAGTGCCTGTACGTGCCTTTGGCTCCTCAAAACTACACTTTATGGAACCATCTTGAACAACCCTATGCCTTCTCCCAAACTCACAACTTCACCTACCTTTCCCTGTTGTGGGTCCTTCTCAGCATTCACCTGTGCTTGTGCCAACTTCTCCCGGGCCCTCACCAAGCAGTTAACTCTCTAAACATGTGCCGACTCTGGCTGAGCCAACCAGACCCCGTCATTCACTGCTGTAATGTCTGACTGATCCTGCCCAAGCGGCTGCCCCTAGGACTGACCCAGCAGATCCAGCCTTGCCATTTCCACGTACCTCCAATACAGCCTCTTCCCATCTAAGTGCAGTGCCTCCACTTGGCCTCACTACTTTGCCTGAGAGACCCTCGCTCCAGAACCTTACCTCTCCCTGTCCCTAGCTCCTTAAACTTCATCTTTTGGATTCTGGCTTTATCTCAGGTAGATCCCACGTCCAGACACTGGTCCATCGAATCTGACCCAGGAGTCCTCGACTTCGACGTGGTCACTTAATCCAAGTCCCATGTTCCTGTGCCCAACATCATTCCTACACTCTCGCAGGGAAATGGGCTCCTTTTCACCTGGAGCACACCCCAACTCTTCTCTGCATGGGGGGCAGTCACAGGCGATGAAAACTCTGACGTAGGGTACAGCCCTGTGCTTCTCGGTCTGACCTGCTCGGGCTCCAGTCCCTAGGGAGGCCATGAAGGGTCCCTTTCCTCCTTTGCCAAGCGTGAAGCATGTGCTTGACGGCACAGGTCTCTCTGAAAAGGGTTCCTTCACCTGAGCCCCAGGACACAGAAAAGGATGGAATGACTTCCGAAGGGTGGTACCCAATGGGTCCCATTCCTCAAAGAAGTATACATCCCATTACAAACCAGCAATCCCTCTTGGCCTTGATGCTTATTTCTCTCCAGGCCCTGAGGGAGGAAGGCTTTTACAAAAGGAAGGAATTTACAATGTGGATGCTGCCACCAGGACAAACACAGGTACACAGTCTATCCAGGGTAACCCCTCCAGTGGATGATGCCCTTGCCATGACCATAGGATACAACACTGTACCCTGGCCTGGTGACACCCTTTGTATTCACAGCACCTTCACCCCCCAGCTCCCACCCTGCAGTGAAGGTCACGTGGCGCTGCTCTCACCCAAGTCTGCCCAGAGAGCTGCAGCTCACTGCCTGCTACCACTGTGGCTCAAGCAACAGCGAGTGTTGCTATAAGTGTCTCCTGCTTAAGGCGAAGCTTGTTCTGCAGTCTGCCTGGGCAACACTCCCTTATCCTCAGTGGCCCGGGCCAGACTCCAACTGTTCCTGCGGGTCCCACCCACTCCCCCTCCTGCTTCACCCTGCGCCTTGACTTTTGGAGGCTGCAGCTGCAAAACCGAGAAAGGTCATCACCGAGAATAACTCTGCCTCAGCACGGTGAAGGGCAGGGCGGCTCCAGTTACCCGAAAGTGGGTGCACTGGCAAGTGTCCACGGGAGTGCCACCTTGGCCCGTAAGCTCTGCTCCACCCTCAGGGAGACGCTGAATCCTCACCGTGACTCGGCAGTTTGCCCCACAAACCCCTGGGAGGGCGTCCCTGTTTTTCCCAAAGCAGGTGCCAGTATTAACGCTGGCCGGGCCTTGCAGGCCCCTCCCGTGTGACTCAAGGGTCACCACCACTTGGCAAAAGAACACAGTTCAGTGAATGAATGAAAAGAAAAAAAAAAGAACACAGTTCACCCAAGACAGGAAGTGCCTCTACTTACATCCCAGAACTCAAACATGTTTTGAGGGTCAATTCCAAACTCCTTCACTTTGGTCTAAAAATGAGCAAAGAGGGAGAGAGAAGAAATGGAGCATTTATTATCTGGGCAGGAAAAGGCAGGCAAGAGCAGTCCCTGAAGATCCGAGGGTTGTGCATCGACTGTCACCATTCCTCAAGAGCCCAGGTGGGGCAGGGATGGAGCAGGACCTAGGACATCTAAGGTGGACAGGGACCTCGCAGCCAGGAAACTGCCCAGCCCTTCTAGTACCTAGGATGGTGACTGCACCCCAGGAAGCCTTCAGGGAATGGACGCCTGGCTGGACTCCTCAGGAGCCCCAGTTTCTTCCCCTATCTGCCACAGAAGGAGCAGCCCACAGAAAAGTGAGCTCTGCCTACAGGGGCAGGCAACGGTGCTGCAATCACCCGGCCTGAAGATGCCCCACCGTGTCCCCCATGGACAGATCACCCAACAGACGAAAGCAGGGTGGGGGGAGGAAGTGGTCAAGAAGAGCTTGTGTGATTTCTAGGCTCTGACACAGCTCACATAATGCCCATGACATACACGCTCAAAGTGCAGTAGGCAGCCAACCTCGTGCCAAGGGCAGGCTATGAGAGCTGGCAGGCAGGTGCTCTGGTTCGAAAGCTAGTGTGACTAACTGCAACACAGAGTCACAAAGTCACGTCCCCTTGCTAGGGCAGGCTGTGAGTGTGCAGCATGCTGCATGGGAGTCAGGCTGGGAAGATGGATAGGACAGATACGATACCACACCACCAACTAGACCCAGGGCCCCCAATCCACGGAGTACATCTCGGCCAATGTATCCTGAAAGGGCATGATCTTGATGCATCCTAGCCCCTTCTCAAGAGACTACAGGGACACTTACCGTGTTGGTAGACAGGGCAACAAAGTGCTTCGCAACTGCAGCGGGCTACAAGAGACAGAAGCAAGTTAGGACAAGCATGTCCCAAGAGCATGGATTCCAACCCCTCACCCCACTCCCATTGCAGAAACTCAGGCCCTTGCCTGGTTGCAGCCCTTAGTTGGAAGAACCCCACCAGGGCCAGCCTGAACGCCCCAGCCGCCTACAGAGTGCGTGAAGGTCCTGGGGAAAATGGTGTGGCCAGGAGTCGAGGGTTCCAGAGGGCCAAGAGAACTCACAGGTTGGCAGCAGGCAAAGGGCGCTTGGCCAGTTAGAATAGGCCACATGTGGTATAAGAGAGGCCGGCTAAGTCAAAGGTAACAATCAACGGGCAGGTATCAGAGAGCCTGCCTCTTGCTTCCAACACCAAAAGAAAGGGGGTCAGGTGTGACCTCTCCAGTGGATGTTATTCCTGGCTGCCCACCACCCACCTCATCACCAGGGAGGGCCCCTCTACCAACTCACATCCTTCGCTGATAGGAGGAACCACTCCTTTGCGGTCTCGGCATTCGTGATGGTCTCCTGGGTGGTAAAGGTCTGCAGGTGGAAAGCACAGCATTCAGCCCCCACACTCAGGCCCAGATCCAATTTGGCGAGGGGTTGTCGGAAGGAAGCTACATCAGGGCCCACGTCACCAAGGACAACGCTTTCAGAGCCAGGGTCAGTTATTACACACGGGGGAGCTCAGAGAGCCATGGTGAGCTGCGAAAGCTGTCTGGGGCAGGGGCCTGGGAGGAGCAGTGTTATCCTGTGATTCCACAACCATGTCACCATCAAGGGGAGCCCTAGAAACAGTTGCGCCACGCCCAACTCCTTCAGGTCAAAGGCCAGGGCATCACCCAGGTGAGGGGCTGTGGGACTCTCTTCAGCCCAGGCTAGACTGCACCTCAGAATTCAGACTGAATGCGTCCCATTATATGGACATTAATGCAAATAAAGGGCATAAATAGTAAAAAAGGAAATCCCTCTATTCTCAGGGCATGGCAAGGGGGTGGGTCAGGGAGAAGCCAAGATTAGGGAGAAATCTGTCAGAAAACAGGGACAGGCTGAGCATGTCAAACAAGAGAGAGAGACTGAGGGCAGCTGTGCTGACTCGCTCAACAAAGTGTGTTCGCTCAGAACCGGTCCAGTGCCGGACAGGGCCCATACCTTGGAGGCAATGATGAACAAGGAGGTCTCAGGGTTCAGGGAGGCCAGAGTTTTGGTAATATGGGTCCCATCGATGTTAGAGACAAACCAGACACGGGGACCACCTGCAGAGTAGGGCTTGAGGGCTTCTGTCACCATGAGGGGTCCCTACGAGGAGACAAAGCATCAGAGAATAAGATTCCAGGATCCATAAGAGGTGGGGCAGGGGCTGCCAGGAACCCTTCAGCCCATCCTAGGGCAGTCAGTCCTCTCCTCACCAGGTCAGAGCCACCAATGCCTATGTTGACAACGTCTGAGATGGGCTTGCCGGTGTAGCCCTTCCACTCGCCACTGCGGACACGCTACGACAGAGGGGAGACAGGGTTAGTCTAAGTCCCTGGGTATGTGCCACTGCCTGAAAACAGCATACTTCAGGCCCCACTTTCAAATTCTCATGGAGGCCTCTTTTTAAATATTTTAATCCATTGCTTGTATTATTCTCTCCCCCGCCCGCAGATTTATTTATTTAATCATTTTATTGCAGCCTCCTACAACTCTTTTCACAATCCATATCCCCCCCCACATTTATTTTAAGGAGCTCTCATGGCCTCGTGGTTTAGGCAGTTGGCTGAGAACCACAAGGCTGGCAGTTCAAACCCACCTGCCACCTGGTGGGAGAAACACGAGGCTGTCTATTCCTGTAAAGTTTTTTTTGTTTGTTTGTTTTTCCTGTAAAGTTTTATAGTCTTGGAAATCTTACATGACTGGCTCACTGTTGGGTCGGAATAGTGAGTTTTTTGGGTATTTATTTTATAATGTATTTTGTTATAGGAGAGCAGAAGAGACATACACCGATGTAACCAATCTTGGATCAGTAATGGGAAGTGGACACCATTCTGTTCTTGTGGCCTCGTGGCAAAGGAGCCAGATCCCTGCCAAAGTCACTACCAAATAGACCAGATTTCCTTACTGGAATTCACGGCCAGAATTTTTGCAACACAAGGGTGAACTGTCAGCAGAAGACAAGAAAACTAACTGAAAAAAAAAAAAGAAAGAAAACGAACTGTGCTGGGACCGAAACATCAGACACGCAGCCAACTTCAAATGGTCGCCATTGGGCTCGGAGTCTTAGTATTCACATCCCTGTAGGCCTCCCGCGGACTGAACAGAGCTGACCTAGGCAACTATCAGCACACTGTGCAAATGACAAGGTTGGCCACAGGAGGCTGGGTCATAACAAACCACGCAGCTTCCGTCTTGTTCTCTTGGACCACTCCGCTTTAAGGAAGCTGGCATTCCTACGGTGAGGACCCGCGCACAGTCCTAAGATGCTAACACGGTGAGCCCGAGGCCTCCTTCCAACTGCCATTACCAGCTCACCATCTGGGGAAGTGAGCCATCTTGGAAAGAGACCCTGCAGACCTCGCACACCTCCAGGTAGCTGTAGCCCTGGCCAAACTCTTGACTAGAATTCTCAAGGCAGACCCACAAACCCAAACCTCCCAGCTAAACCATTCCAGTATTTCTGACTCATGGAAAATGGGTGACATAGTCAATGTTTATGATTGTTTTCAGCATAATTCCTTACACGATAATTAATGCGGATTTGCTCTATTAGTAAAAAACTTAAAATGTGGCATGATTCAAGAATTATTAAATTGAATTTCACCAGATCTAGAAATTACCATTGCTATAAGGCATCCTTATACATCCTTGAGATTGCTTAAAAAAATTCTTTTTCATTTTTTTGAGATTGCTTTAAGGTCCCCAGCACAGTTAGTTTACCTACCTAGGTAGCCAAGGCACCATCTAAACACACAAAGAAGGAAGTTTTTCTGGATTGAGCCCTTTTAAAGAGGAATATTTCTGTTTATTATGTTGGGATATAGGTGAATTTCTAGTTTCAAAGGACAAGTGAATGAAAACATGCATCGTTCACACCCACTAGAATGGCTAAGATTCAAAAGAAAATAACAAGTGTTAGTGAGGGTCTAGGGAAATTGCAACTCTTATGCTATTGCTGGGGAGAATGCAAAATGTTACCAGCACTGTGGAAAACAGTGTGGTAGGCTTCTGGAATATATAAAGATAGAGCTACCACATGATTCAGCAAGTCCACTCCTAGCCGGAAACCCCAAAGCAAGCAGAGACTCAGAGACTTGCTTGTCAAAGTTCACTATAGCAGTATTCACAGTAGCCAAAACATGGAAACAAGCCAATGCCCCTCCACAGACGAGTAAAGAAAACAATGCAGATCCTACTACTCAGTTGGAGAAATGAAGTCTTGACACATGCTATGGTATGGTTGGAGCCTGAACACATGATGCTGAGTGAAATACGTCAATCACAAAAAAACAGATATTGCATGATCTCAAGTAGAAAAACAAGGAAAGGCAGAAGTGGTTACCAGGGGATGGAGGGAGGGGGAAATTTTGAGTTAAGAATGATGGGAAATAGGGGAGGGAGGGAAAAAAAATGAAAAATGAGGACTGGAAAGCAAATGTTTTGAGAATGATGAGGGCAACGAATGTACAAATGTGCTTGACACAATTGATGGATGTATGGATTGTGATAAGAGTTGTATGAGCCCCCAATAAAATGATTAAAAAAATTTTTTTTAATGATTAAAAAGAATGATGTGAAATCAAAGCCCACCTGTAGGCAACTGGACATCCCCTTACAGAAGGGTTGCGGGAAGGAGACAAGCCAGTCAGGGTGCAGTGTAGCACCATTGAAACATGCAACTTTCCTCTAGTTCTTTAATATTTCCTCCCCCCACCCCCACTATCATGATCCAAGTTCTGCCTTACAAATCTGGCTAGACCAGAGCATGTACACGGGTACAGATCAGAGCTGGAAACACAAGGAATCCAGGACAGATAAACTCCTCAGGAGCAATAATGAGAGTGGTGATACTAGGAGGGGAAGGGGAAGGTGGGGAGTGACAGGGGGAACTGATCACAATGATCTACATATAACCCCCTCCCTGGGGGGCGGACACCAGAAAAGTGGGTGAAGGGAGACATCATTCAGTGTAAGACATGAAAAAAAAAAAAAATTAGTAAGGGATCGTGAGGAAGGGAGGGGAAAAATGAACTGATACTAAGGGCTCAAGTAGAAAGAAAATGTTTGGAGAATGATGATGGCAACAAATGTACAAATGTGCTCGACACAATGGATGGATGGATGGATTGTGATAAGAGTTGTACGAGCCCCCAATAAAAGGATTAAAAAAAAAGAATGATGGGAAAATTACATTTATGAAGAATAGAGTTGACAGCCAAAGATTGCAGTTGCTGTCAGTAAGCTGTAAACCTATAAATAGGCAAAATGGCAAACGTTGTACTAGATATACATACTTATAAAAACAACACAAGAGTAGCTGTTGATGCCACTTATGTACAACCAAAAACCTTATGGGAGCTTGTTCTTTGACTTGGAGGTTTGGGGTCATGTTTTCATGGGACCACACAAAACCACACAATGCTATCAAGTCCATTCTAATTCACAGTGACCCTACATGGAGCTCCGAGGCTGTAAAGCTTTATGGGAGCAAATAGCCCCTCTTTTCTCCAGAGGATCAACTGGTGGCTTTGAAATAACAACCCTGTGGTTACTAGTCCTACACTATTGGGCACCAGTGCCATCAGAGCTTCCAGTTAATTAGCCTCATAACATGTTTAGTGCTTCTTTTCTACCTGTAGTTCCTTGCATAGTGCCTAGGGTAAATGGCCCTCAAGGCACACTGTTCTTTATATGTCTGGAGCAACAGGAAAATCAATAGAAGAATAAGGAATGTATAGATAAGTTAATTGAGGAACAACCGCCTCCTTTGCCATGAGATTCTGAAAAAGAATCCTGATTGAAAAGGTGGGAATTTAGAACTGAATTTCAAGTTCCGATTTTATGTGGGTATGGAAGTTGGTGAACCCTACAAAACTATTGCCCTCAGCTAATCTTTTAATCTGAAACCAAAATATCCTACAGGAGTAAAAGCCATAACATGAACAGACATACACACACCCAGGTTCGCTGCAGCACTGTTCCCGAGAGCAAGAACATGGAAACAACCCACATGCCTATCAGTAGAAGAATGGATAAAGAAACTGGTCCAGACACACATGCAATACTAGAAAACTGATACTAAAAACAATGATGAAAATGTGACATGGATGAGGTGTCGATGGGATCAGGCATCAAAATCCAGAACAAAAAATCCTATCAATGTGATTGAGGGGGAGTGTGGAGTGGAGACCCAAAGCCCATCTGTAGACAATTGGACAACCCCTTACAGAAGGGTCACAAGGAAGAAACAAGCCAGTCAGAGTGCAGTGTAGCATCTATGAAGCATACAACTTTCCTCTAGTTCCTAAATGCTTCCTCATGCCCACGATCACGAGCCCAATTCTACCTTGCAAATCTGGCTGGGCCAGAGCATGTACATGGGTACAGCTAAGAGCTCAAAGCACAAGGAATCCAGCACAGATGAACCCCTCAGGACCAGTAATGAGAGTAGTGATACCACAAGGGTAAGGGGAAGGTGGCGGGGAGAAATGGAACCGATCACAATGATCTCCATATAACCCCCTCCCAGGGGGTTGGACAACAGAAGGGTAGGTGAAGGGAGACACTGGTCAGTGTAAGACACACAAAAAAATAACAATAATTTGTAAATTATCAAGGGATCATGCGGGAGGGAGGATGGGGCTAAAAAATGAGGAGCTGATATCAAGGCTTCAGGTGGAAAGGAAATGTTCCCAGGGTGATGATGGCAACATATATACAAGGATATGTGTGTGGATTGTGATAAGAGCTGTGCGAGCCCCTAATAAAATTATTTTTTTAAAAAAATAGTCAAAACGTGGCATGGATGGACCTGGAGGTCATTATACTGAGTGACATTTGTCAATCACAAAAGGACAAATAGAGTATGAGGCCACTGTTAACAAGGAAAACAAACAAAAACAAGACACAGACTTGCAGTCCAAAGGAAACAGACTTTAGAGGTTGCCAAGCGAGGGAAGATGAAGCAACAGACTAGAGAGTTGACAGGTTACCAACTTGGCTGACGGGATTTTGTAATCCGTGTGAAGGGTGCTGACATGGAACTGCAACTGTGGAACCCAAAACTGATAGACATGTAAACCTGGTTCACAAGAAAACATGCAAACTGGTCTAGACTTACAGGCAGTCTGAATCCAGCCCCGATTCTGTGCTGGAGAGGAAGTTTCTACCAGGGCTATCCTCACTCCTTCGCAGCATTTCTCAGTAGTATGATGGCCCATCACAGAAACTACGTAAAGCAGGGCCAAACACCCCCTTTCTTGGGTCAAAGGTTTTACCGCACACGCCGATTCTTCAACCTTCTTTTTCACCCTCATAGCTGACCTTGAATTGCATGGCGGGCCAATGCACAACAATGGGCTCCCTCATTCCTCACGCTATCGGGAGTGTACTACCTTATCTAGGGACCCCAATTTCATGGATTTGTCCCTTTTATAAATGCTCTCAAGTTGTTTTGGGGGTTTGCCACCATGAGGCAAGTCCCAGCAAACATCCTTGGCCGTACCTCGGTGAACTTTTGAGAATCTTTGTCAGAGTAAGTGACATTACCACTCTTCAGCAGCTTTTGTTGAACTAACTGTAAATACCCTGTGGACAGCCTGAGTCAGGTGTTTCAATAGCTAGCTTTAAGGGAGCTCTTTCCTGGTCATAGCGTGCCAGGTAGTCAGTGCCACACCTAGATCACTCACACAAGATGGCTAAAAACTGCTCCAGGCTTGGGAACGC